CGATCGTTAGCATTAGACCATGGTTTAATGATTTTCTTATTACATCAAGTAACTTTCTGTTTTACAGGAATAAAGTAGTGCTGGTGATTCCACAGCAAACAAGACGCAGCCTGGGGCCGTCGTCGTGGCGATCCTCTCCATCGCGTTATAGAAAATCGTCCCATCCCTCCAGCGAGGTTCATTATCACAAGTATCACAGCTCTCCCGTATACTATCGCACGAAGAAACCTATCTATGAAACTCCATCGGCACCTCACGGAGGAGATGACTTTGATCAAGGCTACGAACACGTGAACCACGTGCACGTCCCTCACGGCAAAGGCATCAGTCACGGAGTCTCCTTCGGAAAAGGTTACATCCCTTACGATCAGATTAAGGGTAGCTTCTCGCTCGGTCGCGAAAGGTGAGGATATTGAATTTATTTAAGGATGGAACAGGGTAAGAGATTGAATTTTCTACGTTCCTTTGTTTCTATTTCTGTTCATTCCTTCGTAAATATTTCATTCATTTGTCGATTTGTTCGTTCATTCGTGCATTCATTCATTGGGTTGTTGGTCATTTGAAAGTAATTTCGTTTTTTTTCCCGACGTTAGTTGGGTATTTTTAACCAGCATATATTTGAAAAAAAACTTTCTTGATTCTGTGCAGTTGTTTTTCTCTTTGTGATGAAATCTTGAAATGTTAGCTGTAAAAATATATAGTGGCAATTTAGAATGAAGTTGGCTGGTTCAAAAAATACAACCAACGACACTCGGCGGGAAAAGCGATGTTACTTTCCCAACAACTCCATAATATTTATTTCAATGATAAGCATCCATTTGCTAAAAAGCATAGAAAGTGAAGGACAAAGTTAACAATCGAAGGATTCAGGCTTATCTGCAGTTAAAATATAAATATCAAGTTTATTATTGAACGTGGGAAAGTATTTGCAGCTTATGTTGCAAATGTTTATACGTCGATTTGTGTCTTAAATTGATTTAGATTTTCCAGTAAAGGAAACGTATGCGAATACGTTACAATGAATTAATCAAAGCGAAACTATAATTTGTAATACTAATTGTATTGTACTAAACTTAAACATCATGTACTGTACTAAACAATTTTAATTTACTAACATTTACACATCAAAACGTAGAATTTAGAACAAATCAGTTTCGAGTTTGGACTCTTCAGTGAAATAGAAGTGTACGCGCGGTCGTGTCTGACGATTGACTCGTATATTCCACTGTCGCCAGTAGTACAACGTTCAAACTCAATTGTAACTCGAAGGAGTTAAGTTTAATATATATTCGACGAATCACTGTCAATTTCGATAGGAAAATATCAATTCACGTGATTGTATAATTATTCGTAAGAAATAGAATATTTATAAAATGTTCAGATTATGAAACTAGTTTTTCTAGTTTTCTCCTAAAAATAATTTTTTTCATTTCGTTAGTCTGTATCTTATCTTGGCTTTAAAGTTTATGAGTTTAATTATCAACATATCGAAAATATTTAAGTCAGTATAAATCTCTTTCTTTGTAAATCTCAAAAAAAGATACAAAGAAAAAAAAAAAGAAAAGAACAACGCGAGACTTTCTCACGCGTTTTCTTGAACAATCATTGCTCCTGCGAGTCATTAGGCGTTATTAAGCAATTACACATACTTACACGCACTTTCACTGACCATACGCGGCCCCAAGCACCTAATCGCCATAAATCATTCGAAAGCAGAACAGCGTTCAACTACCATCAATGCCCGCAAGAATGCATTTGCACTCAAGTTGTCATTTGAACTGACGTTCTTTCTAGGAATCCAAGCTCGCAGGAGTATTCATCCTCGTCCTCGTTCACCTCGCCCGACACCGATTATTCACCATCGTCGTACGAGTCTCCGCAATCGGGGACCTTCTTCCCGGACCCGGAAACTGCCCTCAACTACGACGAGAGACGAAACGACGAGAAGAAGTTCTACTCCTCAAGATCGATCGAGAAGGATCTGCTCGCGAACAATCCAATCGAGTTGAGCGCGGCCAAGGATCAGATTCTGCTGCTGCAGCAGAAGGCCGCCGATCTCTACAAGAGCGTCGTTCCTCAGCCGCAAGGTGGCGTCGTGTTACCGGCTGGCATCCCGTCGCCCACCATCGGTGGCAGCAAACAGGGAATCGTGCTGAAAGACACGGTGGCTCTGGACGAGTATCAGCAGAAACTGCAGGATATGGCCAAGTCGTGGCCACAGTTCTTGTCGAACGCAGCCACCACTTTGGGGAACAGTTATCAAACGCAGCAGGTGACCGCGAGTTACTCGGCGGACGGCACTTCCGCCACTTCCGGTCCCCTTAACGGCTGGTCAGCGAGTTTCGCCCAGCCAAAGCAAGGCTACGACGTCAAGGAAGACAACGTGGAACCGCCGCATGATTTCAGAAGCGCGCCTATTCAGAGCTCGCCTTATCACGCGTTCACTGTACCGGCGAACGTGGCACTTCCGGCTGTCACGCAGACGGTTCACGGCTAGCGTTCTTTTCGTCAATTCACGTGTTCTTAATCGATTATCGCTGGTGGACGAGATATAGCGAGGTCGTGTGATTCACTGAACGTCAGGGGTGGCAAGGAATTTCAAACTTCGTTTAATATTGTAAATCTGTTGATTCAATTATCGTTGTCTTTGCAACGTGCTACAAATTAATCTGCTTAACTTTTTACGTAATGTTCGTACACATTGTTCAATATTAATTCACAAACTGATTCTTATATACTTGAATTCTGACTCAGAATTCTTCCCAGATGACACGTAGCATCTTCTAAAGAATTTTGTACAAGATATAATTTACTACTCTTTACGTAATGCTCATACATTCAGAAATGTTTAATCAATTCAGATGA